TAAACAAGCAAAGCTGGAAATAGTGTCTACATTATTTTCTGAAGCTAGAAATCCATATTTTGACTCCACTAAAATTGATAAGTACTGAAGACTTGGAGTCAAAATAGGTATTTGTTCTTAGAAAATAATGTAGACACTATTTCCAGCTTTGCTTGTTTACTTTTTTTTAGAGTCAGTAGTTATATGCTTAAAAATACAATCTTTGCATTTTGATTTAACTTGTATCTGTATTTTTTAGACGATCTCTATTCCTTTTTTTAAATTATCAACTATTAATAATCTTGTACATATACATTTCTTTGTGTGTTGTAACTTTTCAAAAAAGTGATGGATATACCAGTAATTGTACTTTTTTTGACAAAGCATAATAATATTACTTGTTTACTATAGTTTTAGTTGGTAGTATAGCCATATTTGAAAAGGAATGTGACACTTAATGTAAACATCTGACAAATAATGTTTTATTTTTTTTAAGTATGTGATCATTGTTAGCTTTTATCTGTTTAAATTATAATAAAGAAACAAAAAAAAAAGTTTTAGCAAGTGGAAACATCCCATGATACATTAACTCGATTATGGAAAAACTTTATTACCCAACAAGAGCTATTATATGTTCACAGATTAAGTTTTAGAAGGTGAAGAGACAAATGACATAAAACACTATCAAGACTATTTGACTTGAATAGGGATGTACAGTTTGCCAATCTACAGAACAAATGAATGATGAAGAATAATGTACAGTACTGTGAATGATTAACCAAACTGTTTTTTTTTATAAAAAATGTCCACTGTTGTCATAACCAAGATAATCTAATTGTTTTAATAATTAGCTTATATTTCAGTAAGAATAATACACTGTTATAGTTCATTAAAACCAGATAAAATCTTCCTCTTTTAGTGATTTCATATTTAAAATAAAATGATGTACAGCAATGGTGTTCTTGCCCTTTTCATTGTTTTTATAACTGTATTTGATATTTGTGAATAAATACAATAGATTATGATTCATCAACTTATAAAAGCTGACAGAAAACAAAATGTCATTGTTACCATACTAAATATTATAATGTGTTATTAACAAAGATTTAATAATATCAATAAGAACTTCTGAGGGAAAGTAAAGAACAGTGTAAAATAATATATCAACCCCCTGCTATATTCAGTGCCAATGAGGCTTTTTGCCAAATACCAAGGTTCTTCGGCAGCTGGGATACAACAGATATACTTGCAAATTGTTTGAAAGACAACTGTTACAGGATTAACTAAATTAGTTTGATGAAATATAATTTTTTTCATCAATTATATGTATATCACAACATATCAGAATTATGGTTAAAATTATTCAACACAAAATTACTTCTTTCTTTTGATGCCATTAATTTTCATTAATTATTATTTTCTTGATTTAACTATGGAGAAGAACTGGTGAGCCAGCAAGCTAGTCTTCTTGATCCTAGAGCAGGTCAAGAAATTGCAGCAAAACCAGAAAAAGACTACATTAGTAATTATTAATAAGAACTTCTGGTTGAAAGTAAAGAAGCATTATGGATAGTCTACAATATAATGAAGGACATGACAATGAAGGCCTATTCAGTAGAAGTATTTTTATCAGGAACCATTTCATCAGAATCTTTCAACAAGTGATATGTTTACCATAACAAAAATTGTAGCCATCAACCAATGGTGACAAATATATGAAAACTTTTATCAGATATACTTCTAAAGTACAACAAATGACCAGTTCTTTCAATCTTTGTCAGGGTTTGGCTATGCCATACAAAAAACATTATAAACAGTCATATGGCAGTCCAAAAAAAACAATTATCTCAAATAAAAATAGGAAAGCTTGGCTTCAGTAATATTTACTGTGCCATTAAATAATTAGAAAATTGTGAAGTGGTCTGATGAGTTGCATTTCACCACTTTCTGTAAAAATATGGAGAAAATCACATGATCCTCCTTATGTTGTTCCAAGAGACCAAGAACTAATGATGAACTGATTGTATGAAGAACATTCTCATGAGAAGGAAATGGGTCTTTTGAATCTAAACGTCACTTCAGATTACGTCCACCTCAAAATTCTGCATTTCCTCACTGATTGTCAAAGGCTCTTCTAAAACGATAATGCAATAATCTCCTCACTTGCATTGTCTGATATTGGTTTAAAAAGTATGTCAATGACTTCAGTCATCATTCTTAGTCAACAAAATCACTGGAACTAACATGTATGTGATGAACATCGTAATAATATCGTAATAGATAACCCAATCCAATATCAAGTGACAGTCCAAACAAGTGGCCATTCAGTATAGATAATAATATTAATTAATATATGAATAGTTACAAAAACCAATAACTCAATCCCACTGATCGTTGACTTTACTTATTTCTAATTTTGTAATATAATAAACATAATCTCACAGAAAAAATATGTTCACTCATCTTATGTTTTAGTAGGGTTTATAACATAACATTTAAGGACAATAAAGAACCTGTTAATCCATTCAAAGCTGTCCCTTCAACTAAACTTTAAAAAAATAAAAACTCAAAGCCTTAGCATTAAAATATTTATCACTGCCTTTACTTATTTCTAATTTTGTAACATAATAAACAGTCTCACAAAAAAAATATGATTAATTATATTATATTTTAGCAAGATTTGTAATATACCATTTAAGGACACCAAGGGATCTGTTAATCCATTCAATGTTATTCCTCCACTAAACTATACAAAAATACATGCTCAAAGCCAGCTCTTAGCATTCAATTATTTATCAAGCTTTCTCTCAAACTCCTTTAAATTTACTGCTTCCACCACATCTGAAGGCAACCCATTGCAAAAGCCAACTAAATTAGAAAAACAAAATTGTCTTAACTGAAGATGACTCCTAGCCTGTCAAAATTTATATTTGTGCCTTAGTCCTACCATTCTCTCCATTAATTACAAATAAGTATGATACAATGACACTACCAATTCCCTTAACAATCTTAAACACCTCAATCAAATCATCTTTAATTCTTCTTTTTTTCAAGGGAAAATAATCTCAGAAGTCTTAACCCGTCAGCATATGACAACCCTTCCATCCCAGGTATCATTCTTGTAGCCCTCCTCTGAACCTTATTCAACAATTCAGTGTTGTTCCTGAGGAAATGAGCCCAAAACTGAACATAATACTCTACATGTAACCTATCCAGTGACCTATACAATGAAATTATAACCTCTTCAGACTTGTATTTAAACATTGCTGTAAATTGTATCCACCTCACAATTTCCCTCTTTTGTTTTTTTAGTAATAGCATCTTTCTATTTTTGTGCAACTTTTAATTAATGTAGAACTTTAGGTAAATTCAATACTACACTGTTGTTAATGAATATAATAAAAATAGAAGGCTTTTAGAAGAAAACATGTTAATTATAATGTTTTTACTCTTATCTATCAGACAGATAAAGGAAATTTAAATTACAGTTGTAAACCTAAAATGTATTTTACTCATAAACTTTATGAAAATGTAATATGAAAAACAGATATAAACAGCTAAGTTTTTCATATTATGGGTTTATAGAAACAACCTTTAAAATGACTTCTATTCACCTCATGTTTTTGATTATTAGAATTAATAGTGTTAAAAAGAAAAAGAAAATTATTTAATACTTCTAACAATTAAAACAAAAAATCAAAAACTTTCACGTACAGCAACAAATTGGTCATTTTCCATTCTTATTATGTCTCCAACTTGTACTTTGTGCCATCGTTCATCCACAAGCTTACCACTGCGTAGCACTCTAGAATCTCGATTATTTACTTGATTGTCACTACGATGCCGTTGCTAGGATAATAAAAAGTGTTTTTTTTATCCTTTTATATAACTAACTGAAAAAATTACACATACTATGCAAGTAAAAAAGTATAGAATCTGTCACATAACATTGTATATTCAAAAAGTAAGCTACTACTTAATAGAGGCCAAACAATCAGACACACTATACATTTCAACAGATAAATATCAATCTGAAACCTATGAAACAAAGTAAACAAAAGACAGCAAACAACTTAAACTCTGCGCATATACTGAAAATATACTCCTGTAATCACATCAACCTTCAAAAATGCTATAAAATTTATGTTTTAGGTGAACTTAAAGTTTAAGTAAAATACATCAATTGTGATCTTATAGCATTTTAAAGATCTGCTAATGTTTACGAATCCTTCAGTATCCTTTTATGTAGGAAATTTATTATATTATTTATGCCATATCCTTTGCATCATATAATTCAGTCATTAATTCAATCCTAAAATCAGCAATTTATCTTAAGGCTTTTTATTTAAGGTCAAAACATGGAAATAAAAAACTCAGGCAAATATAGGCAAACTAGAAAAATTTTTTGTCTATTATACATGAATCATTATTAAAAATTTTAATTATTTTTTATTTAAAGTATTATTCATTGTGATACCAAAGACATTCTAGTACAAAAAACAATATACTGAACAAATATTTTTCAACTGAAAAACAGACTTACAATGTCATCAATGGCATCCTTCAGTGCTGTAAGGGACAACACAACAACTAAAGGCACTGCGGTAGTAACGGGTGTCAGGGAAGATATCTGTGGTATCAGCTACAAAAAACATGGTTTATTTGAATCTTGTTCTCAAAGATATACCAGCTGTAAAACAAGAAATTGCTCAGCACTTAAACATTCATGGGCTTTAATTTTCCGGAGATTGTCAAAAACCTGTTGTACACATAACATTTATAGGCAATAGTCTAGGGGCATACTTTAAAGTTACAAATACAACAAAAGTTTATACACAAAATGAAGAGATAGCAGCTTGACTCTTGCTTTGACTTTTTATTTCCCCAACCTTTGGTGATATAATAGCACTTGTAAAAGCCATATTTGCTGAAAATTTCACCACATTTGTGAATTTTTAAAGAAATTTTTCAAGTTTTACTGATAAAGCAATTTACATTTCTTTAAAATATGATCTAATCTTATTATTGAAAAATCCAAAACATATTAATAGAGTTGGAACTGTTGGAATGGCCAATATTCAGTTGATAAAAACTCAGTTATGCTGTTTCAGTTACTTCTATATACCATCTGAAAGTAATATTTTTGGCTGGCCCTGGGTTCTTTCTTGGGTCTCAATACAAATTTCATAATCAATCTAAATACGACTTCTCTAGTTGCTTCTATGTACCTTATTTTTGTTTTGTTCCAGATTTCATTATCACTTTAAAGTTGATATTTCACTCACTTTTTTCCACATATCATGATTAGTATAAAGATGATGTTTCAGTGGCTTCTCTATATTTTTTGGCATCTTTTTCTAAATGTGTTTATAAATCTAATATTCTATAATTTTTGTGCAAATTCTCAGTCTTTTTACAACTGTCATTTTCAAACTAAAAAGATTTTCAGTCAGTTCTATGAACCTCATTGAATGTATTTTTAGTTCAAAATGTAGCTGTTGTTTTTATTCAGATTTTGTTTTTCTGAAACACCACTATACATTGAATCAACAACTTCTTTTCTGCCTACAATGTCTCAAAAATATTAGTTCAATAATGTTTTACCCAATCATTAAACCTTCCCCATAGCTTTTCTCATGCTTTAGGATTCTTATTGCTTTTTATAATACCATGACTGCCAATTATGTATAATATTATTTTGAGACAAAGCATTTTATTCATGAAAAAAACAATTTATTGTGAAGTACACATGAAATACATCTTTCCAAAAAACTTCATTATAGATAAGTTTTTTCAGAGAAAAAAAGAATTATTATACTACAACTGAGACTATGGAAAAACACTAATGCATAATACAAAAGCTTTGCAGATATTTAATGCTTGCAGATGTGATGACTAGTGAAGAAAATTCAGGAAATAAAATAGCCAAAAATGAGCAAGGAAAGTGTTTTACAAAGAAATGGAGATCCTAAGTAAGGAACAACAAAAATAGTATGTGCTAATAGAATACAGATTTTAAATAACAGTTAATTCATTGATTAGAAAGTGTACAGACTAAAACACCAAATGAAATAAAATGACCACATACATGGTGATTTTTGGGCTGTGTTCTCCAGAAAAATATATCTATCTTTAAACTTTATGTTTAGCATTGACTAAGTGTTAAAACAGTTTCACAATAAAGAAAATGGAACATGTAAAAGCAATTACTAAAGAAATTTAGTTCAGTTCATGTGGTATTTCTGTATGTATGAGAAACACTTAATATTGAATAAAAAACTCCCTGTATCATCAAAAACAGTGCCAACCTTAGCAAGGATATGCGAGTTGAGCACCAGGTGACAATCTCAGGTGTTGTACCAACAATCCTCATGTGGAGGTAAAAAAAAAAAATCCTTTCCTATGTTACTACTTAATCTTCTGGTTGTATACCATCCATTTGCTTAGCTACACAATAGGGTACTTTGTTTTCTAATAGTCCTAGTCTTATTCCCTCTAAGTGCCAATGAAGACCTTCCATGGTTACCGTTTTTGCCTTACTAGTGCAGATGAGATGATTATCATGCCAGTAGAGTTCTGCTGAATTTGAAACAAAAGCTCCTCTTGCAAGCTTATCATCCATATGGGATACCAACCATTCTGAATTTTACATATTACTGCCTGCCAGTCAGCTGCAAATATTATGTTGATGGCACTTTCTATTTGCAGTTAACTGCTTTCAGCAATCCAAAGGAAAACTCGCTTTATGACTTCCAGGTTCATCTTTGTGCTGCTTGTGGGAAGCTAAAATGCTCTGCAAGCATTATACAGAATGCTGTTGCTCCACGAGAAGAATGTACAACCAGCTCTCCCACTGTCTGTGGTTTACAAACCATCTGTGGCTATGATGACAGGTGATTATCCGTCGTGGTGTTTAAATGGGTGCGGACTAGCTTTTTCTGCTCAACCTTCTGCCCAATTTCTACATTTCTTGTCTAGTCTGATTTACACAGATCCTAGGATGCCAATGTTTATTCCTCCATAGGAGCTTATGACACCTGGTGGTGACTGTATAGTACCTGCCCACCCATGAATGTCTCCTGAGACTCCTTTTAGACAATCTCTGGCTTGGTTGGTGTCTGCAGGCTGTTGTGGAGCTGCAATGTACCAGTCTTCAACAGATGTTTTGCATCTCTTCAATATTCTCTAACTGCATAGCACTCATAGTGACAATCAGTACTGCATAATCAAGATTAAGCAGGTGGTGTTCTTCAGCTATATTTCTTGCTGCAACTTTCAGTGCATTGATGTCTTTTATAGCTCTGTTTATCATGGTATTAATGTGGCTGACAAAGTTGTCTGTTAAAGGTTTCTCCCAGGTACTTCAGTGTTTCTTCCAGGGGGATGGCAGTGCCTGCAAAGGATGATGATGATTTGCCTTCATCAGCATGTCTGTTTTTGTGTGTATATAACATGGCTGAGGCATTGGCAGGATTTTCATGGCAACTCTTATGTCATTAAACAAATTACTCATCCTGTTAAGGGATTATGGCATCTTGCTTTGAATTTCAGCTTTGCTAAATCCTCTGCTGTTGCACAGACCTGGATGATTTAATTGATTAATTGATATAACCAATTACCTATGAGCAGCAATTACATTAATTAGTGTCATGTACACTAATAAATTATTCGGGCATGTGATTAAACTTACTAAACAAGATCAGTGTTTCAGATTATTCCAGTACTAACATAGGTGTTAAGACAACAACCACTATACTGTTATAACTTTGACATCAGAGTACTAGAACATTGATTTTGGGCCTCACTTCATATATCAGCAAACTCTCCTTTCTTTGGAAGACCTATTCATTATTGGCCCTAGCTAGAACCTTAAAAAAATTTTAATGGACAGGAATATCACATTCTCCTAGGGCATGCATAAGTATATAGGAATTAACTGGTGATCTTAGGTGAGCATGTTCTTTTACATGTGTTGATAATTTTCTTTTGGTATAACCACTGTAACCCTGCTGACAGCAAGGACAAGTGAATTTATAAACAACAAAAGAATATTGTAAAGATGAAATACAGCCCTTAAGTTTAAATAAAGAATTAAGATGACAATTAGGTTTTAATATGCACCTTAGGTGTATTTGCATACCCTATACTTTTCAGCTGATTCTTAATAATCAAAGAATACTTACCCATATATATATATATATAAAGGGTAAACTAATAGCCAAACAATTTCTGGGTACATCATAAATAGCAGATGTAACTACACTTTATTTATTTAAATAGCAACAAAGTATTCTATTATCGAAACAACTTGGAAAATAATTTTTACATAAGAATTCTTTGATGTTCATAAATTCTTTAGGTAAACCATCATTTGTGCTAGATATTTTGTAAGCTCAATGAAAATGTATTTTAACTACATTTTCTGTAAAGATGATAGAAATGAAGCTTAGTAAATCAATCAATCAAATGTATCTGATTAATGGAGCCATTAATTTACTCATTAGCAAATACCACTAATCACCAACTCTACTGCTGTAGATCAAAATGTCATCAGCAATGGCATCCAGTTAGCCTGTTAAGATAAGCTAGATCCATCATGTAGATGTCGAAAAGGACTGGCAAAAGTGGTGCTCCTTGAGGCAAACTGGTATTGGCGGTGACTGTTATTTTCCATACTCTGTGATGCATCTTGAGGCAGTTAGTGCATTTATGATCCAACTTACACATGGTACACAGATGCCTATTCTGAGCATTTTGTCAGCAAGAATGGCCAGTTGGACTCTATTGTAAGAATGTTGTGCAGTGAGTAGCAGTCTTTATCTCCACTTCTTTATTTTAAAAATATAATCTCCTCATCTTCACTTTAAAAAGAAACAGAAAAAAAAGAAAGAAGGGAAGAAAAAATTTACTGCGATTTTTTTATAGCAGACTACAAGCCCCTATGAAAGAGTGTAATTGTCCAACAACAGTTAACAAGGTTTACTGTTCATTAGGCTCACTTTAAACTCAAACTAGGCCTATGCCTGAACAAGGGTAGTGAATTACCATCAAGTTTATTGGGATAGTTTATGATAAACATAGGTATGCTGGCAAATGTCTCAAAAGAAGAGAATAAAAGGCAAAAATGTCAGAAAGAAAAAAAAAAAGGAAAGAGAAGACAAACAAAATTAAAATCTTAATCTTTTATAATGGTCTATAAGCTTTTGTGAGATGGAGATGCCTAGTTGCATGTTATAAGCAGGGCTGGAATGAAATAAGCTCCTGTGCTAGGGAGGCTTCTCACTGATGAAAGGATATCTTTATATAATATTGGCCAATGTGCACCCACCTTAAGAATGACAGTCTCATACTTATAGGCTATTGGCCTGCAATCAGTTGTCTGTCTTGTTAGGATAGACAGGACTAGAAGCATACATTTTGAACAGAGTGGTTAATATATTACTTACTAACAGTAATACATTAAGAAACAGCACTCAGACAAGTGTGTGATAGAGCAGGTAACCCCAACATACTAACAAAAGACTGCTCACTAGGAGAGAAGTTTTGGAGGCACTTGTCCCCCTCCAATGTCCATCAACATTACTGTCTACCAGATTTATAAAATAATAGAAGCCAATATGTCAGTTTCTTAAACTAAAATGTTTCCTCACAAATATTATACAAACATTAAAAACATTTACTTTTCCTACTGATATTAATACAGTGGAACCTACATTTATATGCTTTAATTAATATTCTTTTGGAAGAAGTTCTAGATGCCATTTAGTCAAAATAGCACTAAAATTATAAATTACAGAAATCCAAAAAAGTCAACAAAACATACTCAAATATGAATATGTACAATTTCCTCAATAATTCTAATCCAGGTTATATCTTTTTCTAAATGAATGATGCTTTTTTTTAACTCTCAGTATAAACATACTATAATTAAACCTGATGTTAGAAGGCTTACCTGCAACACCAATAAACACAAGAAGTAAAAATTTGCTAATCGCTGAAACTGCTCAAAAAAATTTCTTGGGAGAAAGGTCAAGACTGTGTATTTAGAAGTTCTGATGTAGTTGTTCTATAAATAGAAACATAATACACTAATAAGCAGATATAAAAAATGTCACATATTAATGTGAAAAATTCATAAGCTTCATCCCATGCTACACTATTGTTTAAAGTTTCATTTTGAGTTTATTTACAGATTCAGTATTATTTTATTACAAGTTACGGTTTTTACATATTAATACAGTGGAACCTACATTTATATGCTTTAATTAATATTCTTTTGGAAGAAGTTCTAGATGCCATTTTGACTAAATGGCATCTAGTTTTAACAGAAAGTTTTAGTATTTAAATCAACATTCAACTACTGTATATATTATATATAAACAGAGAAATCCAAATAAATTATTTATCTTAAAGAGATTTAGTATTTAAGCAGAAAGATTTATCTATACAAAGCTCAGACACCCATCGTTTCGATATTTTTTATAAGAGCAACAGTAATTTTAATAGGCATTCCCTACTCTAATATTCTTCTTTTTTTAGAGTTTTGGCTAATCTTGCTTGAAAACTACAACGTAACTTTAATATGATATTTATGATGCTACTTTAAAGCTTGAGGAGACTGCCTACATTTGTTCTTTTTTTTTAGTTGAAAACACCAGATGGCACAAGTAGAAGACTACATATGAACCAATCAAGATTCTTATATATACGTAGACTGTTGTCGACATTATTCTATATCTTAATTATCCCGTATGATAAAAATTGAACAACGAAGCAAATAATTGATAAATTCATTTTTTATACATTTTTCTGCTAGTGTTATACATCAAACTCCTCGTGGACCCACGACTTTTGGCTGTACGTCTATTAATAAAATGCACGACAGATAAAGGAGGTAAACAAAGATACCATTAACACTGTAACAAATCCAGTAATTACTGCAGGGTTTCCCTATGTATTCTGTTGAAAATTAGTGGTTTCACCCAAATTTCTTGATCAGCTCTTTACGCTTAGTGCTGTTTATATTTTAATGCAAAGTTACATAATGACCTTCTGCGCGGCGCGGTCAGGTGGTTAGGGTGCTCGAGTCACAATCTGACGGTCGCGGGTTCGAATCCCCGTCTCATCAAATATGCTCGTCCTTTCAGCCTTTAAGGCGTTATAATGTGATGGTCAATCACACTATTCGTTGGCGAAAGAGTAGCCTAAGTGTTGGCGGCGGGTGGTGATGAGTAGCTGCATTCCCTCTAGTCTTACACTGCTAAATTAGGGACGACTAATGCAGATAACCCTCGTGTAGTTTTACGCGAAATTCAAAACAAACAAACTTATCTGCGCTGTGCACATCACGGGTATCAAACCCTGATTTTTAGCGTATAAGCTCTCGAGTTTACCGCTGAGACACTGAAAAGTCTTAGTATCGTAATACGCTAAAATATAAAACTAATCAATATGATACACTATTTGAACGGCAGTGAACGGTAAAAAAAAAAAAATAGTCAAATGAAAGTCTTTTACGTTTGCCTCACGATGCGATGACTTCTTTAATAATATATTATCTTACAATATTTCGGTATGTAAAAATCGCGTAATTGAAGGTTTTAGACTAATGTTGTCATTTAATCATTTTATTTATATTGCAACAGACAACAAAAGGAAATGTTCGGCCGAGGTGTATGTGCCTTTTGTAAATAAGCTAGGTAACCATGACAATACGATTACGTAATACATAAGGTACAGTATTCTTATAGTTATACCCTTTATTCTTTATGAGCTGCCTGAGTTCAGCAGCAACGTTGATTCTGTTTTGCGCTTCAGTTGGACGTTGTCATTTAATTTGTTAAAGACGGATTAATTATTTTTTAAGAAGGCAATAACGTTTATTTCATAGTTGTTAACTTGTTAAAACCAAACATAACTTCAGGGAATATATATATATTTACAAAAGAGAGACTATATTCTGCTGGTAGAGTGGAACATTAATTAATACATGAAAATAAAACTATCACAATGTTTGGTGGTGCGATATTAGGGCTGAGGATGGTGGTTACTGGGGCTACCTTTCCCTTCCATGATTACATGTTCAACATATGGCTTTGTAGATCTTGAGTAAATAGTTCACGTGCAATAAGCGATAACGGACAGCACAAGTTCTTTGATACAAGTAAAGGTAACTTAAACGGACGGTTGAGTTGAGATCGTATGGTAATTACAGATCTGGTTCTAGTCAGTATACAGGTTTGATCACTTGCATACTAGTGAATATTGAAATGGAATTAAAACTGGATGAAATACACAGTTCTTTGAACAGAAACATCTCAGGAGAGTGGCTATTGTATATCACAATGACAAACTGATCTTGAAAACCAATGTATAAATTCGTATTGTTACACCTCCAGTCGTTACTTAATTTTCCGTAAATTCGTTCCGACGAAACTTTAGCGACACAAGTCCTTTCTTA